AAATGATTTCACTCATCACTGGAGTATAAGAACAAAGGAAAAACAGAAGGAACAAAAGAGCAGCAGAATCACAGAACCCAAGAAAGGACAACAGTTACCAAATAGAAAGGGACTGGGGAAGATAGGTGGAAAGGGAGGGAGAAGGGGGTGGAAGAAGAAAGGGGGCCTTATGAGTAACATGTATAATGTGGAGGGGGGCATGGGGAGTGCTGTGCAACAAATAGTAGACAAGGAGTGTTTTTGAAGCATCTTACTACGCTGATGAACAGTGACTAATGGGGTACATGGGGGGGGAGTTGGTGAAGGGGGGAGTCTAGTAAACATAATATTCCTCAAATAATTGTAGATTAATGATACCACAAAATAAAAAAATTGGAGGAAACAGCTGTGGTACTGCCAAAAGTCGGCTAAGTGCTGGAGATTGTGCCAAAAAGAGAGGCTGCGGGTTTGAACCCACGAAAACCTGACCACACAGTCCTGCCAAAGGCTGGCTGGGGTGGGGCCAGGGCTGCTGAGCTTCCAAAAGGAAAGGAGCTGCCAAAGCTGGGGGCCAGTGCTGGCTGGCAGTCCACATCTGCTGTCTGTCAGTGACTTGGAACGTGCGCTGTGGGGTGACTCCAGGATAGGATGGGACGGGGGGCCTGGTGCCAGAACTAAAGGGAATGTTGAAGGCTGGGGTGGTAGTGCTGCTAAATGTCAGTGCAGGCTGGCTCGGGGCGATGGGGGCGGAGGTCATGAGGGTGCCACTGAAGCCACCGAAACTGGTGGTGCTACTGCCAGCAGCTGTCTGGATGGCGCCGGGCAGGGACTGGCTGAAGGTGACGGCTGTTGTTGGAGCAGGCGTGGCCAGAGCCTGCCAAACTGGAGTATGGAGCCCATGGCTGGGCAGAGCTGGAAACAGAGGCAAGGGGGGACCCAAAGAGGACAGGCTGGGCAGTGGAAGCAGTGGGGCTGGTCATGCTGCTCACAGTGCTGGTCACTCTGCTCACGCCAAAGCCAAATACAGGCTTCCGGGCGGAGTCTGCGGCTGTGCCGGTGGTGGTCCCCCAAGCCGCTCCTGACGGGACACTGACACTGGCTGGGCCAGGGAACAGAGGGGTATTCATGCTAGTGCCTGAAGTAGTTGTCTGACTGAAGGAGGAAGGAGTTGACAAGGGCAAAGATGTAGGTAGCCCGGTGCTGCTAAAAACAGGACTGAAAGTGAGGGGCAGTCGGCTGGTAATCAGGGTGTGGGCAGAGCTGGAAGATGCCTCTGTTGTGACTTGGGAATGGCTGGATGGCACAGGACCCTCCTTCCCACTTTTAGATGGAGCCACAAAGATGGGCTTGAACATGGGATGTGCTGACGACACAGCAGGAGCTGCCGAGGCAGAAGGGTTAGCAGGTGGTCTGCTCAGCATTCCAAAAAGAACACTGGGCTTCAGGGTGGGGCCTGGGGCAGGCAGGGCCTGGGTTTGGCAGATGTCTCAGCCTGAGAGGCTGGAGGTGACTTGGTGGCATCACTGGCTGGTATTGTGGGAGAGGCAGGGGTCAGCCCCAAGAAAAGGGCTCTGGCTGTGAAGAGCCAAGAGGGCCCAGAAGGCCAGGTGTCTGCAGGGGCAAACGGGCCATGGGCATGGCTGTTAGGCAGGGAAATACATGAGTGGGGTGGAAAGAGTACAGGGTCAGCAAAGCCCCCTAGAAAGGACTCAGTTAACCAGTTAAATCTAGAAATCCAGAAAAGATTCAGAGTTAGTGAGTTAATCAGTTAAAGCTCAAAAGGTCAAGAGAAACTTGGCCTTGAAGGTTTGAATATTCCCCAGATTAAAGTATCTGAGCACAATTTGTTCACCATGTAAGAACTTGTTCGTTATGCTTCAGAAGATTGGAGACTGACGAAAATTAGGCTTGGGGTGGATTAATGATTGTGCATTGAGCATTGACTTCCCTATACAGAATTTTATTGTTGTTAACAACCATTTGATCAATAAATATGAGAGATGCCCTCTCAAAAAAAAAAAAAAAAGTATCTGAGCACAGCCCATGTCTTCATTGTGTCCATGAGATCATTGTATGATTTACTCTAGCCTGCTAAAAGGCCCACCTATAAACAGCAAAGACAGGGAGATCCCACCTTAAAGCCAAAATTGTATTTAAAAAGAAAACTAGGAAGTTTCAGAAGAAAGATTCTTAACATACTCTTTAGCAAACAAATAACTCTGCCCACCTTGGAGGAAAGGCAGACAGTCTTGATAAGCTAATTTTGCAGAATTACTTAGAGGACTGATGAGTAACTTAATGTCTCATCAAAGATACTTGAGACCACTTAACAAGCCCACACCCTAGCCCTCTGTCACATTCCTGAAAAATCCTTAAAAGAGGGAGCCCCCAACCTTTCACTGTGCTCCTATGTGAGGTCACCCGCACTTTCTAAGTTTAAACTCCTTTTAACTTTAAACTCCCTCTTTTCAACCTTTCAGGGTGCTGCACTCCTCTCTCTGAGGTCGCCTGCACTTCCTAAGTGCATAACTTCAACTCTTCCCAACCTTTCAGGGTGCTCCTCTCTCTGAAGTCACCCACACTTTCTAAGTGTGTGACCTTGTAATCTTAAACTCTTTCTCTCCAACCTTTCAGGGCACTCCTCCCTCTCTGAGGTCACCTGCACTTCTTTCTGGCTAAGTAACTTTAAATAAAACTTTTACTCTGCTTCACTACTGTGTCTCTGCCCTTCAATTCTTTGTCACGGCGGGGACAAGAACGGAGTAAAATACACAATGCGTCCCACCCAACACTGCCACTGCAGCAGATTCTAGGAAGAAGAACAGAAAATGTCAACTATGGTATCTCAAACGTGATGATATTTGGTGCTCTAGAAGCCTTGCTGGGCCAGGGATTCAGGAGTCAACAAATATGACTCTGGGAACCATCTCTGGAGTGTGAAATTATCCCATATTCCTTACCAGTCTTATCCTCGAAGATCCTCTTCAGCCACTGTGACTGAGCTTGCTTCTCCTGGTAATACTCTTCGACCTTGATTGAGCAGCCAATCCAGGCAGCTCGAGGCTAACAAGAGAAAAAGGAGAAGCCAAGCCAGTCAGAAGGAAGTGACAGAAACCTGTACCGACCCTTCCGTTCCTGAGACGCAGGGGAGCCAGACTGGCGTGGGCAGGGGTGGGTGGACAGACGATACCAAGATCAGCGGGATCCCTTGCCTGGAGGGCACCAGGGGAAACTTGCGTCTGCGTGGCTGGGAGCTGCTGGGTGTAGGTGGAGAATCCCAGGAGTTCTGCTCCCTACATGTCGTTGTATCTGCAAATAAAGTATCAGACTTACTTTCTTCCTGCTCTCTTCCAGAAATGGAGAGGTTTGTCTATCCAGCCTAGTTTTTAATACTGAACTTTTACTAGGTGTCTCTGAGATTCTATCTTCTATGGTTTGGGCGCTTGGATGGTGTTGGCAAGATTATTTCTAATAGTCAAGACGACGTGAAGTGGTCATTGCTCCAAATGCATGCACATGGTTGCTTACCCGACAGAAATTGCCTGGTCTGCTCAGATTCCCCCACCTAGGCTTACCTTACCCCAAACCCCCCAGCTGGCCTGGGTTATGCTATACAAGTCTGGGCAACCTTTCTCCCTTACCAGACCAAAAACCCCGAAGGACAGGAACATCTCTCTCTCTGTAACTACCAAGCCCCACACAAATCAAGGCTCAGTACATGTTGCCAGTGGGTTGTGGTCCATGCGCCCTCCATACACTACTGCCAACACATGCCACGCGTTCATCAACTTACCCTGTTCTCCCTGGGACTCCTTGTTTACTGGCGGAGCAGAAGAGTCAGATCCCTGAGGACCGTCCTCTTCTCTGTAGGAGGAAGAGGCACAGTTAAGTTTAGAAAAGCACTGGATAACTTTTTACACCCTCCTAACTACCAACTGACCAAAGTCTAGAACAAAAAGAAGACAACAAAAAGAAGCAAAGAAAATTCCTAAAGAAATGAAGAGAGGCAGTTCACAGAAGCCATAGAGACACCTTTGTCTTAAAACAAGCAGAAAACAATCTTCAGAACCTTACATACAACCTGCCAAGTTTCTGAGAGTCCTAGTCACACCTCTATCTCTAAGAAAGTGGCATTCTAGTTGGGCACCTAGGGGGTCAGCTGGGGTCTAGAATGTGAAGCCTGCTGCCCACCCCCATCAGTCACTCTGTTCACTCTGTCCCGTGCAAGCCCTTCCCCTTACGCCCCAGCCCCTCACGCTGCAGCATGAGGGGAAGCAGAGGCCGGTGTGGTCACACTGTGTGACGACTGCAAGAGATGAGAGTGATTCAGGGCGGCACCATCTCTGCCCTTTAGATGTGAACCATTTTGATTCTCCAAATTGGAGTCTCAGAAAGCCTAAGAGCCAAGTAAATTTCCCTCCTTTCCCACCCTCTCATTAATCCACACAGCAAATCACCGATCACCTCATTTTCTTTTCTGGACTCTCTGGTGTCTGTGAGCGGGACGAGGCTGGGCTGGAGAAGGGTGAGGCACTGGGACGCCTCTTCCAGAGCTAAAAGCCAAACACAAGTCACGTGACTGACCTTGGGAATAACATAGGATCTGACCTTCAACATAATTCTGTGGCTCTAATCCATCACCATATTAAAAGTCTCCTTTTCGAATATAGTCAAAATATTGTAACAACTTTGTATGGTGATAGCTGGTAGCTAGAATTATCATGTATATAAATGTTGAATCACTGTGTTGTACACCTGAAACTAATGTAATACTGTGTGTCAACTACCCTTCAATTAAAAAAAATTAAAAAAAAAAGTCTCCTTTTCAAGTGACTAAAAAAACATTTCTTTGTGAAGTGGGGCTTCTGAAAAGTGAGTCAATTGCCAGTATTTGAAAGGGTTGTCATTGGCCAAAGTTGGAAAAGTTGCATCAGAAAGAGCAGCTACACTATACTGAGGATCATGAAATGTTTATAAAATTTCATCAGTTCATAAAGATAACACAGCAAGAATCATACTGGTCACCTTTGGAGTTAACTATGGCATCAGTGCCTGCTTATTATCCTGCCACTCCTGTATATAGGGTTTGTTCTTCTATCTAGAATTACACAGACGTTCAGTTAACAAATGCAGAGGGAAGGACAGAATTAGAACATCACCATTTTGCCATAATGGACATAGACAAAGGCGAAAAATGGCCGCTAAAATCAGCAGGTGAAAAGCTCATAGGAACAATAAAGTGAAGGATCAGACTGACACCTGAGCCCAGTGGGAGGCAACCACACAGCACGTGCTCCCGATGTGATGCGATCAGAAGTGCACAGCAGCACCTCTGCCCAAATCACTGAACTTGAAACTCATCAAGCCTCAGGAGCCAACTGCCCGTTT